TTGTCAGCGGAACACGGTAGTCGGGTCCCTTACTTTTTTAGACTTCTCCCTCCTTGTGCTGCCTTTAAAAGTTTCGATTGCCTGTACTTTCAAAGACCTTCTTGCAAAGCTGTTCTGCAACTGGTATTGGCTGCCAGTCGCTCAAGATGTGATGCAGTCGGATCCAGCCTCAGTGCTGTCTTTCTCGAGCAGATGGTGGCTTTCGAAATTCGTACCAAGTTCCTTGTTCGAGGCATTGGCACTTTCACCACAGGCCCTCAGTCCTCTGAGAAGCAGGTCGTAGTCCTTCGTTGGGTCCTTCTTGATGGGCCAGTCACAAGTGGTCAAAAGCTCCTCTAATCTGAAGCCGCTTTATACGACTTCCCTCTTCCTCCAATACGGTGACAGATCTTCTTCCAGCTTTCGGCTGAATCGCACTCTTGCTCGAAGGAGGCGCTGATCTGAAGCACTACTGAATAGACGTCCAGTGAGCTCCACCTGTGATTGCTGAGAACGTGGTCGATCTCCGCATGAGTCGTACCGTTGGGTGACTCCCATGTGTCGGCGTTCTTTCTAAATGGAGTTGCCATGGAAAAGTCGGCGAAATACAGCCCAACAAGACGGTTACCATTCTCTTCCGGAGTCCTGATCCAACTCCCAATCCTACGCTCCTCTTCTTCTATCCCGACTTTTGCATTGAAGTCACCCACGACAAACTTGTAATTCTTTTTGCGGACGACTTTCCCCAAATCCTCACAAAAAGCTCTAGTTCCGAGTCATCAACTGCTGATGTTGGAGAATAGCACTTGATGTTAGTTATGCTTTTCTAATACAGAGGAGGGAGGATATTCAGGTGAGGTGAAAGGATCTCATGCGAATCGAAATGATGGACAACAGATGAGTGTACGACAGGTGCAACGCCTAAAACGTTCCATGATGGAACTTTCTCACCACGAATGATGAGAGTACCATCACTAAGTTGCCTTACGTCCGTTCCTTGACTTTGCTTCCAAGGCGATTACGTAGCTGTTGATGGGCCCGGCAGCTTCGAGAAGGGCGTGAAGATCGGGATTGGTGGAGACTGCTCTGGAGTTGAAGGTGCAAAGAGATAATCCATGGCGAGTCATAGGCGTGTCCTTTTGGTCCGAAATCTATGGCGTCCTGTGCAACCTTACACCGCTCTTGATGACATCTGACGCCGAGGTTTTATCCAGTGTGAAGGGCTTCTTTTCCTTTTACATGCTGTACAAGCAAGTTTTCCCCCAAACTCAGCAGCCTTGCCAGGGCCTGATAAGTTTTTATCACAGGCAATCGCTGACCTCAGTGTATCAGCGAACCACTTGAAGCCAGACGATGGGGCTGGCATGGCCTACTCTTAGCTGGGCATCCGGGGAGGGGAGCCGAAAACGTCGAACTTCTTCTCAGCTTGGGACACCACGCTAGAAAAAATCTACGCAGTACTTCGCAGCGATACTCAGATCACGATGAAGCGGTAGACCATCACGGAAGTTCAGGATACTCTAGATTTTCATTCAGCACTTCCCAAACTGTGTGGTTTTGCGTGGACACACCAAATCCATACCGCACGCAAATTTGCAGACATACCTTTCAGGTCTTGTTCCAGCTGATCTCTAGCAGTTTTTCTTTCTCAATGGTGGTCCTCCGGAAGTGAAATTGCGAAGATGGGGAAAACCCGTGCAACGCCCTCACGTAATTCAACAGCATCCGCACTGGCTGGGGTATGGTTTTATTTCGATTTCATTCTTTTAAAATATATATTTATATATTTATTTATTTATTAATTATTTTGCCAGAACTTCACATTTTTGTTCATTTAAATACGAAGGTTTGCTAATTTTACTTGTCATAGTTTCTCATAGAGTTTGCTCATTAGCAATAGTCTTTAATAATGGTAGCCGTCCCGCCATGCTTCAGATTGGAAGCTTTGATTTTTGTATCTTATTCATTCTAGTTGCGTCAGCCTTACCACAAACTTTTCAAATTCTGCAAAATCATTAGACAAGTTCAGTATAATGGTTCTACATTTTTTTTCGATAGGCTTAGAACTAAGTGGGAAATTTGTTTGTAACGAAGTACTCGTTTTTGGCGCTTATTGTACAGTTTTGCAGTATATTCTCTGGATTAGGAGTTTGAGCTTTTCCTACAGTAATTTCGATCCAAATTTTAAATGGATTTGGGAAACTAAAACTTGTCACAGTTACTCTCCTATCGCCATCTAATGATTTCCATCATCCCTCCTTAGGGCTCATCAAAATCCGCCCAACGAGGTCGTATCAAAGGGATCACAAAGGGAAACGAATCCACTCAGGAGATCAGTCCACAAATTGATGTAAAACCTCCTACGCAGTATTTTAAATACACGAACGAAGAATGTTTGAAAAGATATAGTACCTTGACGGTGAGCTGTGGTTTTGCATTGATTTTATATTGTTTGAGATCTGCTTTTTGTTTAGTCAGTTGAACAGTTCGACACATCTTATCCCGGCAACTTAAAGGAAAAACTTATTCGAGGTGCTTCCAGCGTTGTCAAAATTTCCTGTATTAAGGGAAATTTTTAGGCGCTTTGAAAGCCAATAGAGGATCTCTGCCATGTTTTCTCTGTCAAAAATTCCTCTCCACATCACTTGGTCTCGCATTGCATATCAGGAAATGTCGCGCACAAGCGTCTGATTCTCAACAAGTCCATTTTTTAACTTTGCATCATCATTTTCCTTAACAAATAATGAGTATTTTCAGGATGAAGATTCTCCTTCCAAACCTCGCCTGCAACTGAAGAAGCAAACACATGCATCAGAAGTGGAAATTAGTTCGCTAGAACAGTTAAAGGTTAATCATTTGAGAAATGATATTATTTTGCTTTTCCCTTTCTTTGAGTGGAAGAATAGCTTCCATTTTTATATGGAATACAGGTTTGATTTTGAAAATTTTTTATTGTAGCGCAGTAAGTTGCAGTCATTGCATTCATTACACGAACGTCATGATCTTCATATCAAATTCCGTGTCAATTTATTTAGGAGGAACCCTCCTTATGGCTTCGAATAGATGATATTAAAAAGCTAGATGTTTTAAAACGTCTTTTCACAAATGAAAGGAAGATTGAATGCTTTGCGATTCCTAAGGAAGGTCGAGTAAGTGTGGAATCCATATCATTAATTCCTCAAGCTATTGCAAAGTAATCCACTCGTCTAGAAATGTCCGATTCTCACTAGTTACGAGGCTGCTATAAAACATTTGGATTCTTGCGTCCTACCCATGTATCTTACGTTCATTGTAGGTTTCTTCTTGTTTTTTTGCCTATTTCAAACCCTCTTTTTTGTTCCAGGGAGAGCGGGCATCATTATTTCGGAAGTTGGACACAAAACTGCAAACTCGTTACATTCGAGAAGCTATGAATTTGAAATTGGAGTTGCCTTGCCTTGTATGTGGGCGAATGTTCGCTCATCACTACGGCCTCCGTTATCACGTGGAAAGGTGCAATGTCCCAGAAGAAGTAGGCATAGCATTCGGTTGAGAGGAATTTACTACTTATACCTCACCTAATGCTATTGTGCATCTGCATAAAAAATGTGCTTTTAAAGGCGCAATTGCTACGAGAATCCTGGGTTTTAAGTTTTGATCACAGTTGTTTATTTTGCATATTATAGGGAGGGTTAACTTA